GCGGGCTTGGGGTTGTCGTGCGGTTCGCGCCTTTCCCGCTGAAGCAATAGTGTCAGCGCTACAGCCGGGGCGAGTGGCAGTGGCAGCAGCAGGCTCACATGGAAGTCTAGAAACTTACCAACGTCTCGAATCGATCCGTTAGAAATGCGATCAGTTTACTGTCAAAGATGTACCAGTGCATTGTAGTGTTTCACGAAAAAAAATGATTCGCAGAGTCAGCTAGTATATTGACTGGTATATGGACAGACAAGCACGTAAACTTCTGTAACCACTATAATGTCTACTAATCTACTAATCTACTAATCAATCATTAGCTGTGCCAAAGATAAGTTCTATGAAATAATGATTTGCCTGCATTAGTAAGGTAGACCGACTGAGGTATGGAAGGGATAAGCTCTTACAGCTTATTTTTGACTGGCACAACCAATGATTGATTAGAGTAAACTATATAGTGGTTACAGTAGTGTATGTGCTTGTCTGTCCACATTACCAGTCAATGTATTAGCTGACTCAGCAAATCTTTTTTTTGTGTGTTTTTTCACCCCTGCAAACGCAAACGCACTAGGTGTGTCCGACCATAATTATTTCCAAGTCTCCTTTAAGACCACAAGGGCCGTAGGTGGCACCGGGTAGGCTTTCTGTATTTGTACATTATTTTACAAACGTTCGTGTGTAGTCAAACCGACGTTTCACATCGTACAAATTTCTGCGGAAAAATGCATGATGTCCTAGGCTTACACACACATGAACTCACAAAAATGTTCAACTCAGAAATGAGTCAGTCGGCGTGATACTCTGATTCGGATTATTATTGCTCATCTCTATTGCCCTTGAAGTGCATTGCGTGCCATTATGCCCGTCCTCCCTGACGGGCTCCTCACTGGTACCCAGCGGCGGCCTCTCCCGGCTGTGGCCGTGGTGTTGGATTGGACTGGTGGCCCCCACCCCCTCCTGCGCCCCCGCGTCCTTCCGCTTTCACGCCACGTACCGTCCGTATGCCAAGCAGCTGCCGCCGCCGCGCTCCGCCACGCCCCCGAGCCCACGCTCCGCCACCCCCGCGCCACGGGACAAGACCCGCGGGAGTGCGGCTGCGACGCGCTGTGGCGCGGGGCGTGACGCG